TGTTTTTCGTACTAATTGTATTTTTTGCACTTCTAATTTTAACTGCTTAATGATTTCTAATGACTGGAGTTCTATTTGTTTTGGCTTACTATTGAGGTCTTTTATTTCTTTCTTACTAGGGAATCTTTGGATATTCCTATTATTATCTTCTAATTGGGATGTTATATAGTCTAAGTTTTGTCTAATTGTTTTTAAGGAATTTTTCTGAAAATATTCTAGTAACTGTTGAATTATTCTATTATTTTTGTTATGTTCAAATTTTACACTTTCTGCTTGACTAATCAAAAGGTCAATAATACTATTTTCTAAGGGATTACTACTACTATGTAAAAGATGTTTATGTTCTTTTTGTGGAAAATAACAAACTAATGTATTATTATCTAGAGTTAATTTTTTCTTTTGTTGTTCACTGATTTCTAAATTGAGGTATTCTATCATAAAATTTATCTAAGTCTACATTCCTAATTTCTTTTTGGTATTCTACTTTCCGTTTCTTTAATTCCTGCAACCTTTCTTTTATTCTAATAGGTGTCCACCAAGGGCCAAACATGCAAACGGCTTACTATTTTTAACTAGTGATTTTGATAACAAAATTTTAACAGGTTATAAAACGTTGGTTTTTATCAGTTGTGTTGGTTGACTTCTGTCCTCAAGGTACTTTACTGATATAACTATATTATTAAGGTGCTAAACTAAGGCTCTAATACCATTTTTGAACAAGGGCTCGGTCAAGGTTTTCTAAAAGCCAAAATAACAACCAGATACCATGCCTAGAACATGGAACTGCAAAGACGCCAACTTAAAGGGGTATGGAGCATAACTCAGAGCTCCTCTGAACTCAAAGGTTCCCTGACAAACATCCAATTATTGTTATGACAAATATCAAACATGACCAAGTGCTCAAACAAAGTATTGATCGTCAGTTTAGCAAGATAATAACATAATTATAAAAGTGTTTCCCTATTTTAGACAAGAAGTTTACTAAGAAAATCAAAAATAAAAGAGAAAAATGACTTACTTAATTGCTTATGTTGCTGGAACTACTGTTATCACCGGGTATAAACAGTGGTCGACGGTATTAACAATGATCGGAGTAAGAGAATAATAAGAAAATAAGAGAAAGTATATGAACAAAGGGAGTTTTATTGATTGAAAATTTGAAGGAGGAAGTACTGAGAATTTTTCTTCTATGGTGTTCTGTACTTCTTTCTTCGGAGTTACAAACTATATACATAAATTACACCGACTTCTACCTTGGCTAAGGATGAGAAGAAG